TCAATATCTATGGCATTGAAACTCCGGAGGTACCATCGGTTAACACGCAGTACATATAGACAGAATGCGAAGACTGTAACAACAATACAGACATTGTGCATTCGAAACGCACACGGACTATTTTCTTTCTTCAAAAGAGGGCATAGGCTGAAAAGAAAATTCACAGAAGCGGGTTCAATGCTACTACAGCAGAATCGGTCAGCGCGCAGTAATTCTGGACATTTTGGTAACGAGTGTAAAAAGGAATTCGTTGGTTGTGACATCGACCAACAATCGGACGTATAGATCAATATAGTAAAAATGTAATAGATATGTGATAGATGCATCAGAAGCCCAATGTGTTAGCGCGCCGTGCTTAGAGATAGTATGTGACGATTTCATACGGAATGCGGAGGGTGTGAATTCAATAATCCCCCTAGCATTTTTCTATCCAAAAATATTGCTAAATGAGTCTGAAAAAATGATATGCGTGCAGGATGGATACTCCAGTAGCACAAACGGTTACCAAGCCGTACTTGTAGACAGTATGAGAAGACTTCATAAGTTGTGCGGAGGTAACAGTTCGATACTAACCCCGAGCAATGTCTTTCCAAAAATATGTCTTAGATGAGTCTGATAAAATAGTAATTGATTCACGTTAGATGCGACGCTACGATAATAATTTAACGCGCAGTACATATGAAGAAATACGAAAGTTCAGAGTTCTTTGACTCCCGCAGCAATTAACTCTCAGAAAATATGGAATATATGATTCTGATAAAAAAGGATCCTCCGATACAACAATCGGATAGCACATTGTATTTATTGATATTATGTAACGATATACTAAGAAATACGGAAGTTGTTAGTTCGAAATTCAAAAGGAGAATATTCCTTTCCCAAAATGTTACATATATGAGTCTGATGAAAAAGTTACTCGAGCAAAGCATGCTCCATTAGAACAGTCTGATAGAGCGTCGTACTTATCGACAGTATGAGACGACATCATACGAAATGTAGAGATTGTGAGTTCGATCCTCACCCGGAACAATTTTCTTTCCAAAAATATTCCTTGTATGATTCTGATAAAGAATGTAATCCGGGTTTGATGGATACTCCGGTAGCACAATCGGTTAGCTCGCCGTACTTAGAGAAAGTATGAGACGACATCATAAGGAATGCGGAGGTTGTGAGTTCGATCCACACCCGGAGCATTTTAATTTCCAAAAATATTTCTTATATGATTCTCATAAAGAACGTAATTGATGCTCGATGTATACTCAGGTAGCACGAAAGGTTAGCGCGTCGTACTTATACATATTATGAGACGACATTATAAGAAATGCAGAGGTTGTGAGTTCGATCCTCGCCCGGAGGATTTTTTTTTCCAAAAATATTCCTTGTATGATACTGGTAAAGAATGTAATCCGCACCAGATGGATGCTCCGGTACCACAATCGTTTAGCGCGACGTAATTATAGACAGCATAAGAGGACATCATAAAAAATGAGGGAGGGAGGGGGGGTGAGTTCGATCCTCACCCGGAGCCCTTTTCTTTCCAGATATATTCCTTGTGTGATTCTCATAAAGAATGTAAGCCGTGTTTCACGGATGCTCCGGTAGCACAATCGGTTAGCGCGCCGTACTTATAGACAGTATGAGACGACATCATAGGAATGCGGAGGTTGTGAGTGCGATCCTCACCCGGAGACTTTTTCTTTCCAAGAATATTCCTTGTGTGATTCTGATAAAGAATGTAAGCAGTGTTTCGTGAATGCTCCGGTAGCACAATCGGTTAGCGCGCCGTACTTATAGACAGTATGAGACGACATCATAAGGAATACGGAGGTTGTGAGTGCGATCCTCACCCGGAGACTTTTTCTTTCCAAAAATATTCCTTATATGATTCTGATAAAGAATGTAAGAAGTGTTTCGTGAATTCTCCGGTAGCACAATCGGTTAGCGCGCCGTACTTATAGACAGTATGAGACGGCATCGGTTCGATCCTCAACCGGAGCATTTTTCTTTCCAGAAATATTCCTTGTATGATTCTGATAAAGAATGTAATCGTGATTGCTCTGGTAGCGCAATCAGTTAGCGCGCCGTACTTATAGACAGTATGAGACGACATCATAAGGAATGCGGAGGTTGTGAGTTCGATCCTCACCCGGAGCATTTTTCTTTCCAAAAATATTCCTTATATGATTCTGATAAAGAATGTACGCTGCGTTTTGTGAATGCTCCGGTAGCACAATCGGATAGCGCGCCGTACTTATAGACAGTATGAGACGACATCATAAGGGATGCGGAGGTTGTGAGTTCGATCCTCACCCGGAGCATTTTTGTTTCCAAAAATATTCCTTATATTATTCTGATAAAGAATGTAAGCAGCGCTTCGTGATTGCTCCGGTAGCACAATCGGTTAGCGCGCCGTACTTATAGACAGTATGAGACGACATCATAAGGAATGCGGAGGTTGTGAGTTCGATCCTCACCCGGAGCATTTTTCTTTCCAAAAATATTCCTTATATGATTCTGATAAAGAATGTAAGCAGCGCTTCGTGAATGCTCCGGTAGCACAATCGGTTTGCGCGCCGTACTTATAGACAGTATGAGACGACATCATAAGGGATGCGGAGGTTGTGAGTTCGATCCTCACCCGGAGAATTTTTGTTTCCAAAAATATTCCTTATATGATTCTGATAAAGAATGTAAGCAGCGCTTCGTGAATGCTCCGGTAGCACAATCGGTTAGCGCGCCGTACTTATAGACAGTATGAGACGACATCATAAGGAATGCGGAGGTTGTGAGTTCGATCCTCACCCGGAGCATTTTTCTTTCCAAAAATATTCCTTATATGATTCTGATAAAGAATGTAAGCAGCGCTTCGTGAATGCTCCGGTAGCGCCGTACTTATAGACAATCATAAGGCGGAGGTTGTGAGTTCGATCCTCGTTTTTGTTTCTTTCCTTATAGATTCTGATAAAGTATGAGACGACATCGATAAGGAATGCGGAGGTTGTGAGTTCGATCCTCACCCGGAGCATTTTTCTTTCCAAAATATTCCTTATATGATTCTGATAAAGAATGTAAGCAGCGTTTCGTGAATGCTCCGGTAGCACAATCGGTTAGCGCGCCGTACTTATAGACAGTATGAGACGACATCATAAGGAATGCGGAGGTTGTGAGTTCGATCCTCACCCGGAGCATTTTTGTTTCCAAAAATATTCCTTATATGATTCTGATAAAGAATGTAAGCAGTGTTTGGTGAATGCTCCGGTAGCACAATCGGATAGCGCGCCGTACTTATACACAGTATGAGACGACATCATAAGGAATGCGGAGGTTGTGAGTTCGATCCTCACCCGGAGCATTTTTCTTTCCAAAAATATTCCTTATATGATTCTGATAAAGAATGTACGCTGCGTTTTGTGAATGCTCCGGTAGCACAATCGGTTAGCGCGCCGTACTTATAGACAGTATGAGACGACATCATAAGGAATGCGGAGGTTGTGAGTTCGATCCTCACTCGGAACATTTTTCTTTCCAAAAATATTCCTTATATTATTCTGATAAAGAATGTAAACAGTGTCTTGTGAATTCTCCGGTAGCACAATCGGTTAGCGAACCGTACTTATAGACAGTATCATACGACATGCGGAGGTTGTGAGTTCGATCCTCACCCGGAGCATTTTTCTTTCCAAAAATATTCCTTATATGATTCTGATAAAGAATGTAAAAGACAATGCAGCACAATCGGTTAGCGCGCCGTAATAGACAGTATGAGACGACATCATAAGGAATGCGGAGGTTGTGAGTTCGATCCTCACCGGAGCATTTTTCTTTTCAAAAATATTCCTTATATGATTCTGATAAAGAATGTAATGATCGTAGCAGCGTTTCGTGAATGCTCCGGTAGCACAATCGGTTAGCGCGCCGTACTTATAGACAGTATGAGACGACATCATAAGGGATGCGGAGGTTGTGAGTTCGATCCTCACCCGGAGCATTTTTCTTTCCAAAAATATTCCTTATATGATTCTGATAAAGAATGTAAGCAGCGCTTCGTGAATGCTCCGGTAGCACAATCGGTTAGCGCGCCGTACTTATAGACAGTATGAAACGACATCATAAGGAATGCGGAGGTTGTGAGTTCGATCCTCACCCGGAGCATTTTTGTTTCCAAAAATATTCCTTATATGATTCTGATAAAGAATGTAAGCAGCGCTTCGTGAATGCTCCGGTAGCACAATCGGTTAGCGCGCCGTACTTATAGACAGTATGAGACGACATCATAAGGAATGCGGAGGTTGTGAGTTCGATCCTCACCCGGAGCATTTTTCTTTCCAAAAATATTCCTTATATGATTCTGATAAAGAATGTAAGCAGCGTTTCGTGAATGCTCCGGTAGCACAATCGGTTAGCGCGCCGTACTTATAGACAGTATGAGACGACATCATAAGGAATGCGGAGGTTGTGAGTTCGATCCTCACCCGGAGCATTTTTCTTTCAAAATATTCCTTATATGATTCTGATAAAGAATGTAAGCAGCGCTGTTTCGTGAATGCTCCGGTAGCACAATCGGTTAGCGCGCCGTACTTATAGACAGTATGAGACGACATCATAAGGAATGCGGAGGTTGTGAGTTCGATCCTCACCCGGAGCATTTTTCTTTCCAAAAATATTCCTTATATGATTCTGATAAAGAATGTAAGCAGTGTTTCGTGAATGCTCCGGTAGCACAATCGGTTAGCGCGCCGTACTTATAGACAGTATGAAACGACATCATAAGACATGCGGAGGTTGTGAGTTCGATCCTCACCGGACATTTTTCTTTCCAAAAATATTCCTTATATGATTCTGATAAAGAATGTAAAATGCGTTTCGTGAATGCCCGGTAGCACAATCGGTTAGCGCGCCGTACTTATAGACAGTATGAGACGACATCATAAGGAATGCGGAGGTTGAGTTCGATCCTCACCCGGAGCATTTTCTTTCCAAAAATATTCCTTATATGATTCTGATAAAGAATGTAAGCGACATCATAAGCGGAGGTTTGAGTTCGTGAATTTTTTCTTTCAAAAAATATTCCTATATGCTCCGGTAGCACAATCGGTTAGCGCGCCGTACTTATAGACAGTATGAGACGACATCATAAGACATGCGGAGGTTGTGAGTTCGATCCTCACCCGGGCATTTTTTCTTTCAAAAATATTCCTTATATGATTCTGATAAAGAATGTAAAAGCGTTTTGTGAATGCTCCGGTCGCACAATCGGTTAGCGCGCCGTACTTATAGACAGTATGAGACGACATCATAAGGAATGCGGAGGTTGTGAGTTCGATCCTCACCCGGAGCATTTTCTTTCAAAAATATTCCTTATATGATTCTGATAAAGAATGTAAAATGTGTTTCGTGAATGCTCCGGTAGCACAATCGGTTAGCGCGCCGTACTTATAGACAGTATGAGACGACATCATAAGGAATGCGGAGGTTGTGAGTTCGATCCTCACCCGGAGCATTTTTTTTTCAAAAAATATTCCTTATATGATTCTGATAAAGAATGTAAAAGCGGAATGCTCCGGTAGCACAATCGGTTAGCGCGCCGTACTTATAGACAGTATGAGACGACATCATAAGACATGCGGAGGTTGTGAGTTCGATCCCGGTTTTTCCAAAATATTCATATGATTCTGATAAAGAATGTAAGGTTTTAGTGAATGCTCCGGTAGCACAATCGGTTAGCGCGCCTTATAGACAGTTATAGACAGTATGAGACGACATCATAAAATATGCGGAGGTTGTGAGTTCGATCCTCACCCGGACATTTTTTTTTTCTTTCAAAAATATTCCTTATATGATTCTGATAAAGAATGTAAGCAGCGTTTCGTGAATGCTCCGGTAGCACAATCGGTTAGCGCGCCGTACTTATAGACAGTATGAGACGACATCATAAGGAATGCGGAGGTTGTGAGTTCGATCCTCACCCGGGAGCATTTTCTTTCCAAAAATATTCCTTATATGATTCTGATAAAGAATGTAAGCAGCGCTTTGTGAATGCTCCGGTAGCACAATCGGTTAGCGCGCCGTACTTATAGACAGTATGAGACGACATCATAAGGAATGCGGAGGTTTGTGAGTTCGATCCTCACCCGGAGCATTTTCTTTCAAAAAATATTCCTTATATGATTCTGATAAAGAATGTAAGCAGTGTTTCGTGAATGCTCCGGTAGCACAATCGGTTACGCGCCGTACTTATAGACAGTATGAGACGACATCATAAGGAATGCGGTTGTGTTCGATCCTCACCCGGGCATTTTTCTTTCAAAAATCCTGATAAAGAATGTAAGCAGCCGGAATGCATTTTTAGCGCGCCGTACTTATAGACAGTATGAGACGAAAAAATATTCCTCACCCGGAGCATTTTCTTTGATTCTGATAAAGAATGTAAGCAGTGTTTTGGGAATGCTCCGGTAGCACAATCGGTTAGCGCGCCGTACTTATAGACAGTATGAGACGACATCATAAGGAATGCGGAGGTTGTGAGTTCGATCCTCACCCGGAGCATTTTTCTTTCCAAAAATATTCCTTATATGATTCTGATAAAGAATGTACGCTGCGTTTTGTGAATGCTCCGGTAGCACAATCGGTTAGCGCGCCGTACTTATAGACAGTATGAGACGACATCATAAGGAATGCGGAGGTTGTGAGTTCGATCCTCACCCGGAGCATTTTTTCTTTCCAAAATATTCCTTATATGATTCTGATAAAGAATGTAAGCAGTTCCTTTCTTGTGAATGCTCCGGTAGCACAATCGGTTAGCGCGCCGTACTTATAGACAGTATGAGACGACATCATAAGGAATGCGGAGGTTGTGAGTTCGATCCTCACCCGGAGCATTTTTCTTTCAAAAATATTCCTTATATGATTCTGATAAAGAATGTAAGCAGCGTTTCGTGAATGCTCCGGTAGCACAATCGGTTAGCGCGCCGTACTTATAGACAGTATGAGACGACATCATAAGGAATGCGGAGGTTGTGAGTTCGATCCTCACCCGGAGCATTTTTCTTTCAAAAATATTCCTTATATGATTCTGATAAAGAATGTAAGCAGCGTTTCGTGAATGCTCCGGTAGCACAATCGGTTAGCGCGCCGTACTTATAGACAGTATGAGACGACATCATAAGGAATGCGGAGGTTGATCCTCACCCGAGTTTTCGAAAAATCCTCACCCGGAGCATTTTCTTTCCAAAATATTCCTTTTTCTTTCAAAAATATATGATTCTGATAAAGAATGTAAGCAGCGCTTCGTGAATGCTCCGGTAGCACAATCGGTTAGCGCGCCGTACTTATAGACAGTATGAGACGACATCATAAGGAATGCGGAGGTTGTGAGTTCGATCCTCACCGGAGCATTTTTTGTTTCAAAAATATTCCTTATATGATTCTGATAAAGAATGTAAGCAGCGCTTCGTGAATGCTCCGGTAGCACAATCGGTTAGCGCGCCGTACTTATAGACAGTATGAGACGACATCATAAGGAATGCGGAGGTTGTGAGTTCGATCCTCACCCGGAGCATTTTTCTTATCAAAAATATTCCTTATATGATTCTGATAAAGAATGTAAGCAGCGTTTCGTGAATGCTCCGGTAGCACAATCGGTTAGCGCGCCGTACTTATAGACAGTATGAGACGACATCATAAGGAATGCGGAGGTTGTGAGTTCGATCCTCACCCGGAGCATTTTTCTTTCCAAAAATATTCCTTATATGATTCTGATAAAGAATGTAAGCAGCGCTTCGTGAATGCTCCGGTAGCACAATCGGTTAGCGCGCCGTACTTATAGACAGTATGAGACGACATCATAAGGAATGCGGAGGTTGTGAGTTCGATCCTCACCCGGAGCATTTTTGTTTCAAATATTCCTTATATGATTCTGATAAAGAATGTAAGCAGCGTTTCGTGAATGCTCCGGTAGCACAATCGGTTAGCGCGCCTTACTTATAGACAGTATGAGACGACATCATAAGGGAATGCGGAGGTTGTGAGTTCGATCCTCACCGGAGCATTTTTCTTTCAAAATATTCCTTATATGATTCTGATAAAGAATGTAAGCAGCGTTTCGTGAATGCTCCGGTAGCACAATCGGTTAGCGCGCCGTACTTATAGACAGTATGAGACGACATCATAAGGAATGCGGAGGTTGTGAGTTCGATCCTCACCCGGAGCATTTTCTTTCCAAAAATATTCCTTATATGATTCTGATAAAGAATGTAAGCAGTTAGCGCGCCGTTTATAGACAGTATGAACGACATCATGCTCCGATCCTCACCCGGAGCATTTTTTCTTTCAAAATATTCTTATATGCATAAAGAATGTAAGCAATCGGTTAGCGCCGTACTTATAGACAGTATGAGACGACATCATAAGGAATGCGGAGGTATGATGAGTTCGATCCTCACCCGGAGCATTTTCTTTCCAAAAATATTCCTTATATGATTCTGATAAAGAATGTAAGCAGCGTTTCGTGAATGCTCCAGTAGCACAATCGGTTAGCGCGCCGTACTTATAGACAGTATGAGACGACATCATAAGGAATGCGGAGGTTGTGAGTTCGATCCTCACCCGGAGCATTTTTTTCAAAAAATATTCCTTATATGATTCTGATAAAGAATGTAAGCAGCGTTTCGTGAATGCTCCGGTAGCACAATCGGTTAGCGCGCCGTACTTATAGACAGTATGAGACGACATCATAAGGAATGCGGAGGTTGTGAGTTCGATCCTCACCCGGAGCATTTTCTTTCCAAAAATATTCCTTATATGATTCTGATAAAGAATGTAAGCAGCGTTTCGTGAATGCTCCGGTAGCAAATCGGTTAGCCGGTACTTATAGACAATCGACATCATAAGGGAATGCGCGATCCGTACTTTCAAAAATATTCAGATTCTGATAAAGAATGAGACGACATCATAAGGACATGCGGAGGTGCGGAGGTTGTGAGTTCGATCCTCACCCGGAGCATTTTTCTTTCAAAAATATTCCTTATATGATTCTGATAAAGAATGTAAGCAGTGTTTCGTGAATGCTCCGGTAGCACAATCGGTTAGCGCGCCGTTACTTATAGACAGTATGAGACGACATCATAAAAAATATTCCTTATAGAATGCGGAGGTTGTGAGTTCGATCCTCACCCGGAGCATTTTTCTTTCAAAAATATTCCTTATATGATTCTGATAAAGAATGTAAGCAGTGTTTCGTGAATGCTCCGGTAGCACAATCGGTTAGCGCGCCGTACTTATAGACAGTATGAGACGACATCATATGGAATGCGGAGGTTGTGAGTTCGATCCTCACCCGGAGCATTTTTCTTTCAAAAATATTCCTTATATGATTCTGATAAAGAATGTAAGCAGTGTTTCGTGAATGCTCCGGTAGCACAATCGGTTAGCGCGCCGTACTTATAGACAGTATGAGACGACATCATAATGCGGAGGTTGTGAGTTCGATCCTCACCCGGAGCATTTTCTTTCCAAAATATTCCTTATATGATTCTGATAAAGAATGTAAGCAGTGTTTCGTGAATGCCCGGTAGCACAATTTAGCGCGCCGTACTTTAGACAGTAAAACATCATTCCGGAGGTTGTGAGTTCGATCCTCACCCGGAGCATTTTCTGAAAATAAATGATTCTGATAAAGAATGTAAGCAGCGTTTCGTGAATGCTCCGGTAGCACAATCGGTTAGCGCGCCGTACTTATAGACAGTATGAGACGACATCATAAGGAATGCGGAGGTTGTGAGTTCGATCCTCACCCGGAGCATTTTTCTTTCCAAAATATTCCTTATATGATTCTGATAAAGAATGTAAGCAGCGTTTCGTGAATGCTCCGGTAGCACAATCGGTTAGCGCGCCGTACTTATAGACAGTATGAGACGACATCATAAGGAATGCGGAGGTTGTGAGTTCGATCCTCACCCGGAGCATTTTTTTTTTCCAAAATATTCCTTATATGATTCTGATAAAGAATGTAAGCAGTGTTTCGTGAATGCTCGGTAGCACAATCGGTTAGCGCGCCGTACTTATAGACAGTATGAGACGACATCATAAGGAATGCGGAGGTTGTGAGTTCGATCCTCACCCGGAGCATTTTTGTTTCAAAAATATTCCTTCTGATAAAATTCTGATAAAGAATCGGTTAGCGCGCCGCGACAGTTGAGACGACATCATATGAATGCTCCGGGTTGTGAGTTCGATCCTCATCGGTTGGCGCGCCGTATTCTTATAGACAGTATGAGACGACATCATAAGGACATGCGGAATGGTTGTGAGTTCGATCCTCACCCGGGCATTTTTCTTTCAAAAATATTCCTTTATGATTCTGATAAAGAATGTAAGCCGTGTTTCGTGAATGCTCCGGTATTCTGATAAATCATAAGAATGCGGAGGTTGAGTTCGAGCGCTTCGTGAATGCTCCGGTAGCACAATCGGTTAGCGCGCCGTACTTATAGACAGTATGAGACGACATCATAAGGAATGCGGAGGTTGTGAGTTCGATCCTCACCCGGAGCATTTTTCTTCCAAAAAATATTCCTTATATGATTCTGATGAAGAATGTAAGCAGCGTTTCGCGAATGCTCCGGTAGCACAATCGGTTAGCGCGCCGTACTTATAGACAGTATGAGACGACATCATAAGGAATGCGGAGGTTGTGAGTTCGATCCTCACCCGGAGCATTTTTCTTTCCAAAAAATATTCCTTATATGATTCTGATAAAGAATGTAAGCAGTGTTTCGTGAATGCTCCGGTAGCACAATCGGTTAGCGCGCCGTACTTATAGACAGTATGAGACGACATCATAAGGAATGCGGAGGTTGTGAGTTCGATCCTCACCCGGAGCATTTTCTTTCAAAAATATTCCTTATATGATTCTGATAAAGAATGTAAGCAGCGTTTCGTGAATGCTCCGGTAGCACAATCGGTTAGCGCCGCCTTATAGACAGTATGAGACGACATCATATGGAATGCGGAGGTTGTGAGTTCGATCCTCACCCGGAGCATTTTTCTTTCAAAAATATTCCTTATATGATTCTGATAAAGAATGTAAGCAGCGCTTCGTGAATGCTCCGGTAGCACAATCGGTTAGCGCGCCGTACTTATAGACAGTATGAGACGACATCATAAGGAATGCGGAGGTTGTGAGTTCGATCCTCACCCGGAGTTCGATCCTCAAAAATATTCCGATTCTGATAAAGAATTTTTTCGTGAATGCTCAAAAATATTCGCGCCGTATATGATTCTGATAAATGCGGAGGTGTAATCCTCACAGCATTTTTGTTTCCAAAATATTCTTATATGTGAATGCTTCCGAATGTAGCACAATCGGTTAGCGCGCCGTACTTATAGACAGTATGAGACGACATCATAAGGAATGCGGAGGTTGTGAGTTCGATCCTCACCCGGAGCATTTTTCTTTCCAAAATATTCCTTATATGATTCTGATAAAGAATGTAAGCAGTGTTTCGTGAATGCTCCGGTAGCACAATCGGTTAGCGCGCCGTACTTATAGACAGTATGAGACGACATCATATGGAATGCGGAGGTTGTGAGTTCGATCCTCACCCGGAGCATTTTTCTTTCCAAAAATATTCCTTATATGATTCTGATAAAGAATGTAAGCAGTGTTTCGTGAATGCTCCGGTAGCACAATCGGTTAGCGCGCCGTACTTATAGACAGTATGAGACGACATCATATAAAGGAATGCGGAGGTTGTGAGTTCGATCCTCACCCGGAGCATTTTTGTTTCCAAAATATTCCTTATATGATTCTGATAAAGAATGTAAGCAGCGCTTCGTGAATGCTCCGGTAGCACAATCGGTTAGCGCGCCGTACTTATAGACAGTATGAGACGACATCATAAGGGATGCGGAGGTTGTGAGTTCGATCCTCACCCGGAGCATTTTTGTTTCCAAAAATATTCCTTATATGATTCTGATAAAGAATGTAAGCAGCGCTTCGTGAATGCTCCGGTAGCACAATCGGTTAGCGCGCCGTACTTATAGACAGTATGAGACGACATCATAAGGAATGCGGAGGTTGTGAGTTCGATCCTCACCCGGAGCATTTTTCTTCCAAAAATATTCCTTATATGATTCTGATAAAGAATGTAAGCAGTGTTTCGTGAATGCTCGGTAGCACAATCGGTTAGCGCGCCGTACTTATAGACAGTATGAGACGACATCATAAGGAATGCGGAGGTTGTGAGTTCGATCCTCACCCGGAGCATTTTTCTTTCAAAAAATATTCCTTATATGATTCTGATAAAGAATGTAAGCAGTGTTTCGTGAATGCTCCGGTAGCACAATCGGTTAGCGCGCCGTACTTATAGACAGTATGAGACGACATCATAAGGAATGCGGAGGTTGTGAGTTCGATCCTCACCCGGAGCATTTTTGTTTCCAAAAATATTCCTTATATGATTCTGATAAAGAATGTAAGCAGTAGCACAATCGAATGCTCCTTATAGACAGTAGCACAATCGGTTAGCGCGCCGTACTTATAGACAGTATGAGACGACATCATATGAGACGACATCATATGGAATGCGGAGGTTGTGAGTTCGATCCTCACCCGGAGCATTTTCTTTCAAAAATATTCCTTATATGATTCTGATAAAGAATGTAAGCAGTGTTTCGTGAATGCTCCGGTAGCACAATCGGTTAGCGCGCCGTACTTATAGACAGTATGAGACGACATCATAAGGAATGCGGAGGTTGTGAGTTCGATCCTCACCCGGAGCATTTTCTTTCAAAAATATTCCTTATATGATTCTGATAAAGAATGTAAGCAGTGTTTCGTGAATGCTCCGGTAGCACAATCGGTTAGCGCGCCGTACTTATAGACAGTATGAGACGACATCATATGGAATGCGGAGGTTGTGAGTTCGATCCTCACCCGGAGCATTTTTTGTTTCCAAAATATTCCTTATATGATTCTGATAAAGAATGTAAGCAGCGTTTCGTGAATGCTCCGGTAGCACAATCGGTTAGCGCGCCGTACTTATAGACAGTATGAGACGACATCATAAGGAATGCGGAGGTTGTGAGTTCGATCCTCACCCGGAGCATTTTTTTTCCAAAATATTCCTTATATTATTCTGATAAAGAATGTAAACAGTGTCTTGTGAATTCTCCGGTAGCACAATCGGTTAGCGAACCGTACTTATAGACAGTATGAGACAACATGCGGAGGTTGTGAGTTCGATCCTCACCCGGAGCATTTTCTTTCCAGAAATATTCCTTATATGATTCTGATAAAGAATGTAAGCAGTGTTTCGTGAATGCTCCGGTAGCACAATCGGCTAATATGCCGTATTTATAAACAGTAAGAGACGACGTCATAAGGAATGCGGAAGTTGTGAGTTCGATCCTCAACCGGAACATTTTTCTTTCCGAAAAATATTCCTTGTATGATTCTGATAATGAATGTAAGCCGCTTTCCGTGAACGCTCCGGTAGCACAGCCGGTTAGAGCGCCGTACTTATAGATAGTATGAGACGACATCTTAAGGAATGCGGAGATTGTGAGCTCGATCCTCACCCGGGGCTTTTTTCTTTCAAAAATATTCATATATGATTCTGATAAAGAATGTAAGCAGGTTTTCGTGAATGCTCCGGTAGCACAATCGGTTAGCGCGCCGTACTTATAGACAGTATGAGACGACATCATATGGAATGCGGAGGTTGTGAGTTCGATCCTCACCCGGAGCATTTTTCTTTCCAAAATATTCCTTATATGATTCTGATAAAGAATGTAAGCAGTGTTTCGTGAATGCTCCGGTAGCACAATCGGTTAGCGCGCCGTACTTATAGACAGTATGAGACGACATCATATGGAATGCGGAGGTTGTGAGTTCGATCCTCACCCGGAGCATTTTTCTTTCAAAAATATTCCTTATATGATTCTGATAAAGAATGTAAGCAGTGTTTCGTGAATGCTCCGGTAGCACAATCGGTTAGCGCGCCGTACTTATAGACAGTATGAGACGACATCATATGGAATGCGGAGGTTGTGAGTTCGATCCTCACCCGGAGCATTTTTGTTTCAAAAATATTCCTTATATGATTCTGATAAAGAATGTAAGCAGTGTTTCGTGAATGCTCCGGTAGCACAATCGGTTAGCGCGCCGTACTTATAGACAGTATGAGACGACATCATATGGAATGCGGAGGTTGTGAGTTCGATCCTCACCCGGGCATTTTTCTTTCCAAAATATTCCTTATATGATTCTGATAAAGAATGTAAGCAGTGTTTCGTGAATGCTCCGGTAGCACAATCGGTTAGCGCGCCGTACTTATAGACAGTATGAGACGACATCATATGGAATGCGATCCTCACCCGGAGCATTTTTGTTTCCAAAAATATTCCTTATATGATTCTGATAAAGAATGTAAGCAGTTCGATCCCGGTAGCACAATCGGTTAGCGGCCGTACAGACAGTTTTTCATATTGCGGAGGTTGTGAGTTCGAAAAAAAAATATTCCTTATATGATTCTGATAAAGAATGTAAGCAGTGTTTCGTGAATGCTCCGGTAGCACAATCGGTTAGCGCGCCGTACTTATAGACAGTATGAGACGACATCATAAGGAATGCGGAGGTTGTGAGTTCGATCCTCACCCGGAGCATTTTTCTTTCAAAAAATATTCCTTATATGATTCTGATAAAGAATGTAAGCAGTGTTTCGTGAATGCTCCGGTAGCACAATCGGTTAGCGCGCCGTACTTATAGACAGTATGAGACGACATCATAAGGAATGCGGAGGTTGTGAGTTCGATCCTCACCCGGAGCATTTTTCTTTCAAAAATATTCCTTATATGATTCTGATAAAGAATGTAAGCAGTGTTTCGTGAATGCTCCGGTAGCACAATCGGTTAGCGCGCCGTACTTATAGACAGTATGAGACGACATCATAAGGGAATGCGGAGGTTGTGAGTTCGATCCTCACCCGGAGCATTTTCTTTCCAAAAATATTCCTTATATGATTCTGATAAAGAATGTAAGCAGTGTTTCGTGAATGCTCCGGTAGCACAATCGGTTAGCGCGCCGTACTTATAGACAGTATGAGACGACATCATAAGGAATGCGGAGGTTGTGAGTTCGATCCTCACCGGAGCATTTTCTTTCAAAAATATTCCTTATATGATTCTGATAAAGAATGTAAGCAGTGTTTCGTGAATGCTCCGGTAGCACAATCGGTTAGCGCGCCGTACTTATAGACAGTATGAGACGACATCATATGGAATGCGGAGGTTGTGAGTTCGATCCTCACCCGGAGCATTTTTCTTTCAAAAATATTCCTTATATGATTCTGATAAAGAAAGTGTCAGTGTTTCGTGAATGCGTGAATGCTCCGGTAGCACAATCGGTTAGCGCGCCGTACTTATAGACAGTATGAGACGACATCAGGAATGCGGAGGTTGTGAGTTCGATCCTCACCCGGAGCATTTTTCTTTCCAAAAATATTCCTTATATGATTCTGATAAAGAATGTAAGCAGTGTTTCAATGAATGCTCCAGTAGCGACAATCGGTTAGTTCGCGCCGTACTTTCCAAAAATATTCCTTATATAGACAGTATGAGACGACATCATATGGAATGCCGAGGTTGTGTGTTCGATCCTCACCCGGAGCATTTTTCTTTCCAAAATTATTCCTTATATGATTCTGATAAAGAATGTAAGCAGTGTTTCGTGAATGCTCCGGTAGCACAATCGGTTAGCGCGCCGTACTTATAGACAGTATGAGACGACATCATAAGGAATGCGGAGGTTGTGAGTTCGATCCTCACCCGGAGCATTTTTCTTTCCAAAAATATTCCTTATATGATTCTGATAAAGAATGTAAGCAGTGTTTCGTGAATGCTCCGGTAGCACAATCGGTTAGCGCGCCGTACTTATAGACAGTATGAGACGACATCATATGGAATGCGGAGGTTGTGAGTTCGATCCTCACCCGGAGCATTTTTTTCTTTCCAAAAATATTCCTTATATGATTCTGATAAAGAATGTAAATGCAGGTTGTGAGTTCGTGAATGCTCCGGTAGCACAATCGGTTAGCGCGCCGTACTTATAGACAGTATGAGACGACATCATAAGGAATGCGGAGGTTGTGAGTTCGATCCTCACCCGGAGCATTTTTCTTATCAAAAATATTCCTTATATGATTCTGATAAAGAATGTAAGCAGTGTTTCGTGAATGCTCCGGTAGCACAATCGGTTAGCGCGCCGTACTTATAGACAGTATGATACGACATCATACGACATGCGGAGGTTGTGAGTTCGATCCTCACCCGGAGCATTTTTCTTTCAAAAATATTCCTTATATGATTCTGATAAAGAATGTAAGCAGTGTTTCGTGAATGCTCCGGTAGCACAATCGGTTAGCGCGCCGTACTTATAGACAGTATGAGACGACATCATACGACATGCGGAGGTTGTGAGTTCGATCCTCGCCCGGAGCATTTTTCTTTCCAAAAATATTCCTTATATGATTCTGATAAAGAATGTTAGGAGTGTTTCGTGAATGCTCCGGTAGCACAATCGGTTAGCGCCGTAATCAGTATGAGACGACATCATAGGAATGCGGAGGTTGTGAGTTCGATCCTCACCCGGAGCATTTTTCTTTCCAAAATATTCCTTATATGATTCTGATAAAGAATGTAAGCAGTGTTTCGTGAATGCGACATCGGTTATACTTATAGACAGTATGAGACGACATCATAAGGAATGCGGAGGTTGTGAGTTCGATCCTCACCCGGAGCATTTTCTTTCAAAAATATTCCTTATATGATTCTGATAAAGAATGTAAGCAGTGTTTCGTGAATGCTCCGGTAGCACAATCGGTTAGCGCGCCGTACTTATAGACAGTATGAGACGACATCATATGGAATGCGGAGGTTGTGAGTTCGATCCTCACCCGGAGCATTTTCTTTCAAAATATTCCTTATATGATTCTGATAAAGAATGTAAGCAGTGTTTCGTGAATGCTCCGGTAGCACAATCGGTTAGCGCGCCGTACTTATAGACAGTATGAGACGACATCATACGGAGGTTGTGAGTTCGATCCTCACCCGGAGCATTTTTTCTTTCAAAAATATTCCGATATGATTCTGATAAAGAATGTAAGCAGTGTTTCGTGAATGCTCGGTAGGTTGTACTTATAGACAGTATGAGACGACATCATAAGGAATGCGGAGGTTGTGAGTTCGATCCTCACCCGGAGCATTTTTCTTTCAAAAAATATTCCTTATATGATTCTGATAAAGAATGTAAGCAGTGTTTCGTGAATGCTCCGGTAGCACAATCGGTTAGCGCGCCGTACTTATAGACAGTATGAGACGACATCATAAGGAATGCGGAGGTTGTGAGTTCGATCCTCACCCGGAGCATTTTCTTTCAAAAATATTCCTTATATGATTCTGATAAAGAATGTAAGCAGCGTTTTGTGAATGCTCCGGTAGCACAATCGGTTAGCGCGCCGTACTTATAGACAGTATGAGACGACATCATAAGGAATGCGGAGGTTGTGAGTTCGATCCTCACCCGGAGCATTTTTCTTTCAAAAATATTCCTTATATGATTCTGATAAAGAATGTAAGCAGTGTTTCGTGAATGCTCCGGTAGCACAATCGGTTAGCGCGCCGTACTTATAGACAGTATGAGACGACATCATATGGAATGCGGAGGTTGTGAGTTCGATCCTCACCCGGATTTTTCTTTCAAAAATTTCCTTATATGATTCTGATAAAAAATTTTTGAATGCTCCGGTAGCACAATCGGTTAGCGCGTTCTGATCAAAGAATGCGGAGGTTGTGAGCTCACCGGAGCATTTTTCTTTCAAAAATATTCCTCATATGATTCTGATAAAGAATGTAAGCACAATGCTCCGGTAGCACAATCGGTTAGCGCGCCGTACTTATAGACAGTATGAGACGACATCATATGGAATGCGGAGGTTGTGAGTTCGATCCTCACCCGGAGCATTTTTCTTTCAAAAATATTCCTTATATGATTCTGATAAAGAATGTAAGCAGTGTTTCGTAAAGATGCTCCGGTAGCACAATCGGTTAGCGCGCCGTACTTATAGACAGTATGAGACGACATCATAAGGAATGCGGAGGTTGTGAGTTCGATCCTCACCCGGAGCATTTTTCTTTCCAAAATATTCCTTATATGATTCTGATAAAGAATGTAAGCAGTGTTTCGTGAATGCTCCGGTAGCACAATCGGTTAGCGCGCCGTACTTATAGACAGTATGAGACGACATCATATGGAATGCGGAGGTTGTGAGTTCGATCCTCACCCGGAGCATTTTCTTTCCAAAAATATTCTTATATGATTCTGATAAAGAATGTAAGCAGTGTTTCGTGAATGCTCCCGGTAGCACAATCGGTTAGCGCGCCGTACTTATAGACAGTACGAGACGACATCAGACGACATCATATGGAATGCGGAGGTTGTGAGTTCGATCCTCACCCGGAGCATTTTGTTTCCGTAAAAAACGACATATTCCTTATATGATTCTGATAAAAATAATGTTCTGATAGCAGTGTTGTTTCGTGAATGCTCCGGTAGCACAATCGGTTAGCGCGCCGTACTTATAGACAGTATGAGACGACATCATAAGGAATGCGGAGGTTGTGAGTTCGATCCTCACCCGGAGCATTTTCTTTCCAAAAATATTCCTTATATGATTCTGATAAAGAATGTAAGCAGTGTTTCGTGAATGCTCCGGTAGCACAATCGGTTAGCGCGCCGTACTTATAGACAGTATGAGACGACATCATATGGAATGCGGAGGTTGTGAGTTCGATCCTCACCCGGCATTTTTCTTTCCAAAAATATTCCTTATATGATTCTGATAAAGAATGTAAGCAGTGTTTCGTGAATGCTCCGGAGTAGCACAATCGGTTAGCGCGCCGTACTTATAGACAGTATGAGACGACATCATATGGAATGCGGAGGTTGTGAGTTCGATCCTCACCCGGAGCATTTTCTTTCAAAATATTCCTTATATGATTCTGATAAAGAATGTTAGGAGTGTTTCGTGAATGCTCCGGTAGCACGATCGGTTAGCGCGCCGTACTTATAGACAGTGTGAAACGACATCATAAGGAATGCGGAGGTTGTGAGTTCGATCCTCACCCGGAGCATTTTTCTTTCCAAAAATATTCCTTATATGATTCTGATAAAGAATGTACGCGGTGTTTGGTTAATGCTCCGGTAGCACAATCGGTTATCGCGCCGTACTTATAGACAGTATGAGACGACATCATAAGGAATGGGGAGGTTGTGAGTTCGATCCTCACCCGGATTTTTTTTTTTTTCAAAAATATTCCTTATATGATTCTGATAAAGAATGTAAGCAGTGTTTCGTGAATGCTCCGGTAGCACAATCGGTTAGCGCGCCGTACTTATAGACAGTATGAGACGACATCATATGGAATGCGGAGGTTGTGAGTTCGATCCTCACCCGGAGCATTTTTCTTCAAAAATATTCCTTATATGATTCTGATAAAGAATGTAAGCAGTGTTTCGTGAATGCTCCGGTAGCACAATCGGTTAGCGCGCCGTACTTATAGACAGTATGAGACGACATCATATGGAATGCGGAGGTTGTGAGTTCGATCCTCACCCGGAGCATTTTTTTCCAAAAATATTCCTTATATGATTCTGATAAAGAATGTAAGCAGTGTTTCGTGAATGCTCCGGTAGCACAATCGGTTAGCGCGCCGTACTTATAGACAGTATGAGACGACATCATATGGAATGCGGAGGTTGTGAGTTCGATCCTCACCCGGAGCATTTTTTTCCAAAAATATTCCTTATATGATTCTGATAAAGAATGTAAGCAGTGTTTCGTGAATGCTCCGGTAGCACAATCGGTTAGCGCGCCGTACTTATAGACAGTATGAGACGACATCATAAGGAATGCGGAGGTTGTGAGTTCGATCCTCACCCGGAGCATTTTTCTTTCAAAAATATTCCTTATATGATTCTGATAAAGAATGTAAGCAGTGTTTCGTGAATGCTCCGGTAGCACAATCGGTTAGCGCGCCGTACTTATAGACAGTATGAGACGACATCATATGGAATGCGGAGGTTGTGAGTTCGATCCTCACCCGGAGCATTTTTCTTTCCAAAATATTCCTTATATGATTCTGATAAAGAATGTAAGCAGTGTTTCGTGAATGCTCCGGTAGCACAATCGGTTAGCGCGCCGTATTCTTATAGACAGTATGAGACGACATCATATGGAATGCGGAGGTTGTGCGGAGGTTGTGGAGTTCGATCCTCACCCGGAGCATTTTTCTTTCAAAAATATTCCTTATATGATTCTGATAAAGAATGTAAGCAGTGTTTCGTGAATGCTCCGGTAGCACAATCGGTTAGCGCGCCGTACTTATAGACAGTATGAGACGACATCATATGGAATGCGGAGGTTGTGAGTTCGATCCTCACCCGGAGCATTTTTCTTTCAAAAATATTCCTTATATGATTCTGATAAAGAATGTAAGCAGTGTTTCGTGAATGCTCCGGTAGCACAATCGGTTAGCGCGCCGTACTTATAGACAGTATGAGACGACATCATAAGGAATGCGGAGGTTGTGAGTTCGATCCTCACCCGGAGCATTTTTCTTTCAAAAATATTCCTTATATGATTCTGATAAAGAATGTAAGCAGTGTTTCGTGAATGCTCCGGTAGCACAATCGGTTAGCGCGCCGTACTTATAGACAGTATGAGACGACATCATAAGGAATGCGGAGGTTGTGGTTCGATCCTCACCCGGAGCATTTTCTTTCCAAAATATTCCTTATATGATTCTGATAAAGAATGTAAGCAGTCTTTCGTTCGCGAATGCTTATAGACAGTAGAGACGACAATCGGTTAGTTCGCGCCGTACTTTTCTTTCCAAAAATATAGACATAAAGAATGTAAGACGACATCATTAGCGCGGAATGCGGAGACGACATCATGTGAATGCGGAGGTTGATCGATCCTCACCCGGAGCATTTTTCTTTCCAAAATATTCCTTATATGATTCTGATAAAGAATGTAAGCAGTGTTTCGTGAATGCCGGTTCTGGTATCAAATCGGTTAGCGCGCCGTACTTATAGACAGTATGAGACGACATCATATGGAATGCGGAGGTTGTGAGTTCGATCCTCACCCGGAGCATTTTTCTTTCAAAATATTCCTTATATGATTCTGATAAAGAATGTAAGCAGTGTTTCGTGAATGCTCCGGTAGCACAATCGGTTAGCGCGCCGTACTTATAGACAGTATGAGACGACATCATATGGAATGCGGAGGTTGTGAGTTCGATCCTCACCCGGAGCATTTTCTTTCCAAAATATTCCTTATATGATTCTGATAAAGAATGTAAGCAGTGTTTCGTGAATGCTCCGGTAGCACAATCGGTTAGCGCGCCGTACTTATAGACAGTATGAGACGACATCATATGGAATGCGGAGGTTGTGAGTTCGATCCTCACCCGGAGCATTTTCTTTCAAAAATATTCCTTATATGATTCTGATAAAGAATGTAAGCAGTGTTTCGTGAATGCTCCGGTAGCACAATCGGTTAGCGCGCCGTACTTATAGACAGTATGAGACGACATCATATGGAATGCGGAGGTTGTGAGTTCGATCCTCACCCGGAGCATTTTTCTTTCAAAAATATTCCTTATATGATTCTGATAAAGAATGTAAGCATGTCTTTCATAAGGAATGCGAGGTTGAATGCCTCACCGGTTTTCTTTCAGCGATTCGGTTAAGCGCGCCGTACTTATAGCGCGCCGTACAGACAGTATGAGACGACATCATATGGAATGCGGAGGTTGTGAGTTCGATCCTCACCCGGAGCATTTTTCTATCCAAAAATATTCAATATGATTCTGATAAAGAATGTAAGCAGCGCTCCGGTAGCACAATCGGTTAGCGCGCCGTACTTATAGACAGTATGAGACGACATCATAAGGAATGCGGAGGTTGTGAGTTCGATCCTCACCGGAGCATTTTTCTTTCAAAAATATTCCTTATATGATTCTGATAAAGAATGTAAGCAGTGTTTCGTGAATGCTCCGGTAGCACAATCGGTTATCGCGCCGTACTTATAGACAGTATGAGACGACATCATAAGGAATGCGCAGGTTGTGAGTTCGATCCTCACCCGGGCATTTTTCTATCCAAAAATATTCCTTATATGATTCTGATAAAGAATGTAAGCAGTGTTTCGTGAATGCTCCGGTAGCACAATCGGTTAGCGCGCCGTACTTATAGACAGTATGAGACGACATCATATGGAATGCGGAGGTTGTGAGTTCGATCCTCACCCGGAGCATTTTTCTTTCAAAAATATTCCTTATATGATTCTGATAAAGAATGTAAGCAGTGTTTCGTGAATGCTCCGGTAGCACAATCGGTTAGCGCGCCGTACTTATAGACAGTATGAGACGACATCATATGGAATGCGGAGGTTGTGAGTTCGATCCTCACCCGGGCATTTTTCTTTCCAAAAATATTCCTTATATGATTCTGATAAAGAATGTAAGCAGTGTTTCGTGAATGCTCCGGTAGCACAATCGGTTAGCGCGCCGTACTTATAGACAGTATGAGACGACATCATATGGAATGCGGAGGTTGTGTGTTCGATCCTCACCCGGAGCATTTTTCTTTCAAAAATATTCCTTATATGATTCTGATAAAGAATGTAAGCAGTGTTCCGTGAATGCTCCGGTAGCACAATCGGTTAGCGCGCCGTACTTATAGACAGTATGAGACGACATCATAAGGAATGCGCAGGTTGTGAGTTCGATCCTCACCCGGAGCATTTTCTATCCAAAAATATTCCTTATATGATTCTGATAAAGAATGTAAGCAGTGTTTCGTGAATGCTCCGGTAGCACAATCGGATAGCGCGCCGTACTTATAGACAGTATGAGACGACATCATATGGAATGCGGAGGTTGTGAGTTCGATCCTCACCCGGAAAATTTTTCTTTCCAAAAATATTCCTTATATGATTCTGATAAAGAATGTAAGCAGTGTTTCGTGAATGCTCCGGTAGCACAATCGGTTAGCGCGCCGTACTTATAGACAGTATGAGACGACATCATATGGAATGCGGAGGTTGTGAGTTCGATCCTCACCCGGAGCATTTTTCTTTCAAAAATATTCCTTATATGATTCTGATAAAGAATGTAAGCAGTGTTTCGCGAATGCTCCGGTAGCACAATCGGTTAGCGCGCCGTACTTATAGACAGTATGAGACGACATCATATGGAATGCGGAGGTTGTGAGTTCGATCCTCACCCGGAGCATTTTTCTTTCCAAAAATATTCCTTATATGATTCTGATAAAGAATGTAAGCAGTGTTTCGTGAATGCTCCGGTAGCACAATCGGTTAGCGCGCCGTACTTATAGACAGTATGAGACGACATCATATGGAATGCGGAGGTTGTGAGTTCGATCCTCACCCGGAGCATTTTTCTTTCCAAAAATATTCCTTATATGATTCTGATAAAGAATGTAAGCAGTGTTTCGTGAATGCTCCGGTAGCACAATCGGTTAGCGCGCCGTACTTATAGACAGTATGAGACGACATCATATGGAATGCGGAGGTTGTGAGTTCGATCCTCACCCGGAGCATTTTCTTTCAAAATATTCCTTATATGATTCTGATAAAGAATGTAAGCAGTGTTTCGTGAATGCTCCGGTAGCACAATCGGTTAGCGCGCCGTACTTATAGACAGTACGAGACGACATCATATCAAAATATTCCTTAATGCGGAGGTTTTCGTGAGTTCGATCCTCACATCATAAGGAATGCGGAGGTTGTGAGTTCATTTTTCTTTCCAAAATATTCCTTATATGATTCTGATAAAGAATGTAAGCAGTGTTTCGTGAATGCTCCGGTAGCACAATCGGTTAGCGCGCCGTACTTATAGACAGTATGAGACGACATCATATGGAATGCGGAGGTTGTGAGTTCGATCCTCACCCGGAGCATTTTTCTTTCCAAAATATTCCTTATATGATTCTGATAAAGAATGTAAGCAGTGTTTCGTGAATGCTCCGGTAGCACAATCGGTTAGCGCGCCGTACTTATAGACAGTATGAGACGACATCATATGGAATGCGGAGGTTGTGAGTTCGATCCTCACCCGGAGCATTTTTCTTTCCAAAAATATTCCTTTATATGATTCTGATAAAGAATGTAAGCAGTGTTTCGTGAATGCTCCGGTAGCACAATCGGTTAGCGCGCCGTACTTATAGACAGTATGAGACGACATCATAAGGAATGCGGAGGTTGTGAGTTCGATCCTCACCCGGAGCATTTTTCTTTCCAAAATATTCCTTATATGATTCTGATAAAGAATGTAAGCAGTGTTTCGTGAATGCTCCGGTAGCACAATCGGTTAGCGCGCCGTACTTATAGACAGTCATGAATGACGACATCATTTTTCTTTCCAAAAATATTCCTTATATGATTCTGAAAAGAATGCGGAGGTTTCGTGAATGAGTTCGATCCTCACCATCATATGGAATGCATTTTTTCGATCCTCACCCGGGCATTTTTTCCAAAAATATTCCTTATATGATTCTGATAAAGAATGTAAGCAGTGTTTCGTGAATGCTCCGGTAGCACAATCGGTTAGCGCGCCGTACTTATAGACAGTATGAGACGACATCATATGGAATGCGGAGGTTGTGAGTTCGATCCTCACCCGGAGCATTTTTCTTTCAAAAATATTCCTTATATGATTCTGATAAAGAATGTAAGCAGTCTTTTCGTGAATGCTCCGGTAGCACAATCGGTTAGCGCGCCGTACTTATAGACAGTATGAGACGACATCATATGGAATGCGGAGGTTGTGAGTTCGATCCTCACCCGGGCATTTTCTTCAAAAATATTCCTTATATGATTCTGATAAAGAATGTAAGCTGTCTTTCGTGAATGCTCCG